CGCGCCCGCGGGAGCCCGGCGGGGACGGGGCTCGGCGGCCCCGCGCGCGCTGCACGGGCTCCCCCTGCGCCCTGAGTCTTCTGCCAGCCGCCGGGTGCCGTGCCCGGGTGTCGGTGGGTGTGTAGATGTCGCCATGGCCTCCACCGGGTACTGCGTGGACAGGCTCCGAGCAGGGCCGTGGCCGCGCCGTGGGGCCGGCGAGTGTGAACCGTGCGTCTCACTGCGGGCCGCGTGTGTGTTTGTGTGGACATGAGCATGTGACTGCGGGGGACGGGGGTCCTGAGGCCTGCGCAGGGCTGTGGGGGAGGCGTGTCCCTAGGGGTGTGTCTGCGTGGCGGGTCACCGTGCCGTGAGTGTGCGCGCGTCCAGGCGAGGCACTGGCGTGAGCCGTGTGCGGGGTGTGCGTGGCAGTGGGTGTGCACACGTTCGGAGGACGTGTGATTGGTGTGTGTTGGGAAGGGGTGTTGTGCACGCGTGTGTGTGCCCAGAGTGGGCGTGCATCGGTGGGCACTGAAGGTCCTGGGACAGGGCGTGCCAGCGGGGCTGTGTGTTGGGCGTGTGCGCGCTGGGCTGTGAGTGGGGCGCATTGGGCAGGTGGGACCCGCCCGGCCGCCAGCCCGAGCATCTGGGCCCGAGAAACTTCAGCACCACGGACAGCGCACGGCATCTGGACCAGACCTCCTTTCTCAGGCCTGAGACCCCCATTTGTTTCTGTACCTCCAGCGCTGGGCAAAGGGGGCTGTGGGATTCTCCCTTCCCCTAGTCCTTCCACACTTCCCACTGCTTGACAGCTGGGGAAACTGAGGCCTGGGGTCACACAAGTCAGAAACAGAACCTGGAAGAAAGCCCACCCCTTAGACTTTCCTGAGAAGGGAATAGTGTTGGCCAGTAGCCCGGATTTCGGGGGGAGGCCAGGGGAAGGGGGTCCCCAGGAGGGGCTCAGAGGGGTTGCATCTGGACCCTCCAGCCTGATGGTCCAGCCCGGGAGGGCTTGGGTCAGTGTCTCCACTCAGTGCTCCAGTGTGTGAAATGAGGACAGAGAAAAAGGATGGACTTCATTTTCAGGGTTCCCTGGTCTGTGGCCCCACTGTGCTTGGGGCACTTGTGTTCACTGGACAGGGACATCAGGCACATGGTGGACCAGGGGACCAACACCCCTACCCCCATGACACCAGGTGGGGGGTACAAGGCTGTCTCTGGAGGCTGGCAGGTTGAGGCACAGGCCCTCCCTGGGATGGTGGGTGGCTCTGGGCTTCCTCTTGGCTGCAGAAGGGGCCATGTGAGGCTTGGGGTGGTTGGGGATGAAGGGTGCTCCATCCCGTGTCCCCAACCTGGGCACAGTCACCTGTGGGACCCTCGGCAGGCTCGGCCCCACTCTTCATTCTGAAATACAGAGGGGCCCCCAGGTCACTGTGTGGGCCAAGCGAGGTTGTGTCACGGCTGGGCAGATAAATATTAACATGGGGGGTGAGGAAGTGGCAGGAAGTGAATGTGGCCTGTAGTCGAGACTCCAGGGGTCATGGTGGTCAAATTTTGGAAAAGGACTTAGATGTTGCCACGCTGGATACATGGGGGCCTTTATGACCCTCCCATAATTTGGGGCCCATGCCCCTTCAGGATGCTTCTGATTCAATAGAGACAGACCCCAAGTATATCACAAGAGAAGCGCTCCCTGAGCCGCCCCCACCCCCGGTCAGAGGATCTGAACCCTTGACCTTGGTGTTACTAGCACCGCATTCTCCCAAGTGAGCTAACCGGCCAGCCCTAATAATATGCATGATTACCACAGTGAGGCGGGTGCCGTGGCTGTCCCCAGTCTACACGCGAGGAAAGGGAGGCCCAGGGAGGTCAAGTCGCTTGCTCAGAGCCACACAGCTAGTCAGGGGCAGCTCCGGGATTCCCGTCTCAGCAGGCTGGCCTGGGCACCCGCGCTCCTGACCGCCAGCCAGCTCGGCCTCCACCTAGGGATTGTTGGAGATATTAGGGGTGCCTGGGGGCATGGTGGATAATATATACATGTGTGTATGCACATCTGTCCCTTCTGCTCTCACACCTTGATGGTGTAGAGACCGTCCCTGCTAGTGCTGTGTCCCCATGCACCACACACGACTTAAAGGACAGGGCAGCAGGAGGCCCCCACCACAGGCCCCGTTTCCTGCCCAGAGGCTGGGGCTGCTTCCATGTCCTGTGTAAATTGGCCTGCACCGCCCGGCACCCAGAAGGGGACAGTTAAAGTCTGGTGAACTGGAACGGCCCTCATTCTGCACAGGCCACCGAGGCGGAGGCAGGGCGAGCAGTGCAGGGACAGTGGAGGGAGGAGGAGGCCTTGGAGGTGGCCCTGGGGAGGAAGGTGTCCCGGCCGAGGGAACAGCCTGGGCAGAGGCCAGGCTTGGGGCCGGGCCGTGCTTTGGAGGGTGTTTCAGGGCCCCCGCATTTGTTCAAAGCTGATTTTGGAGTCGGAGCTCTGAGCCCAGTGCCTCTGAGGGCTGGCTGGGTCCCTTGGGTCCTCTCTGGGTCTCTCTGCCTTGATTTCCCCAAATGTAAGGTGATGGTGGATGAGGGAAAGGGGAATGGGTGTGTGACTTTCTTGGCCAGGCTGGCATTTCATGGGTTTCAAATCTCACACCCTGTGCCCCTCTCCTTTCTACTGAGCGACAAGCCTTTGCCCAAGCTGTGTCCCTGCCAGGTTTGCCCAACCCCAGTCTGGGTCCTTCATCTCCCAGCACACAGGCCTCCCCTTGCGCGGGCCTGGTGACTCTTCTGCACTTCACTCTGCGCTGCTAGGATACTGGGAAGTGGTCTGCTGTACTTGTCATGTCCGGGGTCTGGTACATGGCGGGTGCCCAGGACATATTTGCTGAGATCACCGAGGGGCAGACGCAGGTCAGGATCTCGACCATTTCCTGGGCAGCTCCAGGCAAGCTCCAGCCCCTTTCTGAAGCGCCAGTTGGTTCATTTGTAAAATAGGGTCTCAGGGGCCTGCAGGTCGCTCTAGCCCTGGCACTTGGCATACAGAAGCCCCAAGAGACGTTCTGGGAGCTTCCATGGGGGGAGTCGGTGGAAAAGCAAGTTGGAGGGAGGGAGGGAAGGATTTGGGGTTTAGGAGGTTCGATTTCCCCCTTTAGCACATTAGAATTCGTGCCCGAATTGGAACAGTGTGAAAACCAATGGAAGGAAGGGATTCAGCCTCATGGAAGTCCGGGGGCCTTGGCAGGGTCTTCTGCCCCCTACCCTGGAAACATTATTAAAAAATAAACGTGCTTCATTCATATTCTCTTTAACCCAACCACTTCTGGTTCTAAACACCAAGCAGATTCAAAGGAGGAAACCTCTGAAGGAGGGACCCCGTCTCCCACGCTGGGTTGACAGCTTTTCCTACCACTTGCAACCAAGTCCTCAGATAGGTGTGACTTGGGTGGTGCGGAGGCAGGCCTGGCAGGGAGGGGACCTGGGTGGGGCAGGGGTTTGTCCCTTGGGACTCCAGCCTGGGGGGGTCAGAGGGGAGATTTCTGGGGTCCCAGACCTCATGTCCCAAGAGACGGCAGTGGGGCCTGTGCCTTCCGGGCTGCCTTGCATCCAGTCCCACGTCTATAAGAGCCTGAGGTCTGACCTCAGTTTCTCCTGCTGCTTCTGGCTTTCGGTTCAGCATTCCAGAACTGGCTATAGCTGGGGAGGCCTGGCATGACGAGGGAGACATGAGTTAGTTCCTTCTCCCGGCCCTTGGAGGAGCCTGGACCTGTATCTGTCATGGCCCCTGGAGTCCCCAAGGGGCTGGTGGGGGCGGGGGCTGGCTGGAAGGCCCTGACAGGACTAAGGCCCCTGTCCCCCGACCCAGATGGCCCATCGGATCAGCAGGAGATCAGGAGGGAGGTGCCGTTCTGCAAATCCCTGGGTGATGAATCCCTGCATTAGATCAGGGGAATAAACCCCATATTATCCAGGGTGGGGGTGGCCGAGGGACTGGGGTGAGGGTTTCTCTGGCTCCGGACCCAGTGCCAAGGCTGGCCATGGGCTCAGGCAGGCGGGGGGATGGGGGTCAGCAGAGGGACCCATTTCCCAGCTGGGAGGATTGAGGTCCAGGGCCCACCCTCCGGTGAGGATGGAGGCTTCATGGTCTGCTGAGGGGTCAGAGGTCAGGGATGGCTAAGGCTTCCCTCCTGTCTCCAGGGCCTTCCCTAAATGCCCTGCTTGAAAAACTTCCAATCCCCAAGGGCTCCCACCTCCCACCCCCTCTTTAGCATCCTGGGAATGACCCTGGGGGTCCCAAGACCCCTCTGGCTGCCTCAAGGGCTTCTCCAGACTTTCGCACGTCCTTTCTTTCCTCTCACTTGAACTTCCCTGGCTCCGGACCCCTCCCCACCAGCTCCTCCCACCTCCTCTTGTCCTGCTGCAGCTCAGTGCTCCCCACCTCGCTGGCCTTGATGGGTGGGGGGACCCCATCACGGTCACACTTGCTGTTCCCTCTGCTGGGGATGCCACTCCCTCCTTCCTCACTCTGTCCAGCAGCTCCTCCTCCTGAGCCACCCACATACCACCTCCTCCGAGGAGCCCCCCCGGGTTGGTCTCAGGCCAGCACCCTCTGAAGCACCCCGTCTTGGTGTGTGTGCATCACCCGTCTGCCCTGCCCAGCTGGGAGCCCCGAGGGAGGGTGGGGCCTGTCTGGTCACTGCGTGTCCCGGGCACCTGGCACACATTCAGTCCCGTACATGTCTGCCCGGTTTGGGGATTACCCCTGAATCTGGTGTCTTCCCCCGCTGGGGTCTCCCTTTCTTAATCCATGACACCTGCTGCGGATCTGTAACTCCACATCTGAGGGCTCAGGCTCCTAATCTTCCATCCCCAGGCTCACCCCTAATCGCCGACCTCGGGCCCCTAATCCCCTCCCGGATTTGTCCTGATCTGTAATTCCTGGACTGCCTCCCAGCCCGAATCTCAGGTCCTGCCAGAGCTGCCCTGTCTGTCCACCGTGCCCAGAACCTCGGTGGCCAGGCTCCCAGGACACCCCTGCTCCAGCGGGGCTAAAGACCCCCAGGGCAGAGCCCTCCCCACCATACAAGGGCTCCACAAGGAGAGGAGTCAAGTCAATCTCCTCCACTCTGCTGCGTGACCTTGCGCCACTTCAGCTCGACGAGCCTCAGTTTCCCCATCGGTCACCCAAGCTGGTGCACCTGAACAGCTGGTTGCCATGGGGTTCAGGGAGCACCATGGGGAGAGATCCGTGATCTCTGGGCGCTTGTGTGGCCCGGACCACAGTCTGCCTGCTTGGGTTCTAAGGCTGCTCTGTCACTTACTGCTTGAGGAGCCTCAGTTTCCCTGTCTGAGCTGAGAGGAAGGCGGGGCAGCTGGTGGAGTAGGAAGTGAGCTCACGGGGTCAGGGCCTGGGGGATCCCTGCTGAAATCAGGAGCCCACATGGGTGGGAGAGGGTTCCAGGCTTGGTCCCATCTGCAGGTGTTAGAGCCAAGGCCAGGCAGGCCTCCCAGGAGCCCTGGGCCGGCCCCTTGTCTCCGGGGCTGGGTTTCCCACTCCTGCCCTCCCAGGGCCGCGCTGGTGATGGAGCCGTGGGAATCTGGTGTCTCACGGATGCGGGGGCCTCATCGGGGCCTCACTGTTATTTGTTAGGGATGATTTGTTTAAATACAGGATTTAATGATTTTTTTAAAACACGGGATTTAACTGTGGTCATTCAAGTTCTTGCTGAGAAATCCCCCGTGACAGCTGAGTGGGCTTGACCCTGTCCGTGCTGGGATCCGACCAGGAAGGGCCTGGGTGCCCGAGGGGGAGGGGGCTGCCAACATGGGGTGGATGAGGCATTGGGGCTCAGAGAAAGAAAGCAAAAGGCAGGAAAGGGTGCCCCAACGTCTCTCTGCCAAGGGCTGGGTGGGCGTGCTGGGGTGGGGAAGCGGATGCCCTGCAGGACGCTAGGGCCCCCTCTGCCCTCAGGCCTCAGTTTCTCTGTGGTAGGGGCACGCATGCTCCTCCTTTCTCCTCCTGCCCCCTTCCACAGGGGACAAGGCTGGCTGGCCAGGACAAGGACTGAGGTCCTGGGCTATGTTTGGGGGTTTCCCAGTTGGAGTAGGGGCCCTACCCCACAGGGGATCCATGAGGATGGTCCCTGCCCGTCCTCTCCCCTCAGCCCCTCTCCAGTCCCTCTGCCCTCTGCTCCAATCTCCCTCAAGCCCAGGGGACACAGCCCTGCCTGGGAAGACAGACCACACCATGTGACACAGCCCACAAGTCATTCCCCAGGGACAGAGGAGAAGAAGGAGATTCCTGGACCCTGTGGGCAGTAGACAGAGGACAGGCCCCTGCAGGCCTAGGCTCAGCCCTGCACCCCCCTTCCTGGTTGGGCAACCCCCTGTCTGTCAGTGGGGAAGGGTGGTACCTGCACCCACCCCCTCCCCAAGAATAGAGGAGAGAATGTCTCTGAAGTCACCCATGAAGGATGCCCTCATGTTTGTGGCCATTTAGACAGTTTCTGGGTTCCCCCATTGGTTTCTAGCCCCCCCCCAGTTTGTAGGCCCCCCCCTGGTGGTTTCTAGGCCCCCCTGTGGTTTCCAGGCCCCCCCCATGGTTTCTAGCCCCCCCTTCTACCCCCTGTAATTTCTAGGCCTCCTGGTGGTTTCTAGGCCCCCCTGCGGTTTCCAGGCCCCCCCCCATATTTTCTAGCCCCCCCTTCTACCCCCTGTAATTTCTAGGCCTCCTGGTGGTTTCTAGGCCCCCCTGCGGTTTCCAGGCCCCCCCCCATATTTTCTAGCCCCCCCTTCTACCCCCTGTAATTTCTAGGCCTCCTGGTGGTTTCTAGGCCCCCCTGCGGTTTCCAGGCCCCCCCCCATATTTTCTAGCCCCCCCTTCTACCCCCTGTAATTTCTAGGCCTCCTGGTGGTTTCTAGGCCCCCCTGCGGTTTCCAGGCCCCCCCCCATATTTTCTAGCCCCCCCTTCTACCCCCTGTAATTTCTAGGCCTCCTGGTGGTTTCTAGGCCCCCCTGCGGTTTCCAGGCCCCCCCCCATATTTTCTAGCCCCCCCTTCTACCCCCTGTAATTTCTAGGCCTCCTGGTGGTTTCTAGGCCCCCCGGCCTTCTCAGTTGCTCTTTCCTGCTTGTTTTATCCCAAAGCTTTTGCCCTGCATGGTGGGTGGGAGGTATCAGTCCAGAGAGTGTGAGGGTGGGACTAGGCTCTACAGTGGACTCTCTGGGGACTAGGGGTGGGGAGCAGAGGTGGCAGACAGGTGGGGCCCCCTAAAATCCTGATCGGTGCTGAGGTCCTGGGGGTCTCCTTGACTAGGAGATGCCCTGGATCGGGGTCTGAGCCCACATGCCTTGTCTAGATTAAGGCACAGAAAGGTCTTGGATCTCCAGCTGAGTCATCTGACGTTGCCCTCAAAGTAGGGGGGACCCCTCCCCACCCCCAGACCATGTCAGCTCTTCTTAGCTCTCTCGAAGCTTTTCCTCGTCCTAGGAAGTTTGCGGGGCCGTTCTGCAGGCTCGGCGCCCTCCCCATCATGGCTGGACGTCCTCTTACATCACACGTGGGTTGACGGATAGAAGAACTGAGGTTCTCAGGGGCTGAAGGAATTCACCCAAGGTCACTTGTGCCAGTGGGCGGGTGCCAGCCCAGGTCTGGCTGACGCCACTACGATGTGAGACATTGGGTCTCTTCCAGCCTTTGGCTCTTGCAGACCAAGCTGCTGTGAACATCTTGGAACAAATGACTTTTTAATTTTTTTTTCTCTCTTTCTTTTGGACGATTTCCTAGGGATCAATTCCCCCAAGTGGAACGTCTGGGTCACCCGGCAGGCAGGCAGGCGTGGTGTTAATGGTTTTTCCCTCGAGGTGCTGTCCAGAAAGAAGGAGCCAATTTGCAGTGGCTCTGGCTCCCAAAACAGGGAGCTCGCCTCAGCCGTGCCAGCACTGGGGCTTACCGCTTTTTATTTATTGTGCAAATTTGGGCGAGTCCCTCCAGCCCCTGAAAGTCTTTCCTAAAAGGACATGGGGACTCCGGCCATGACAGGGAGGGCAGTTGGCCTATGGGACAGCCCCCCCCCCCAACCCCACCTGCAGAGCTAAGAAGAGCTGACGATCTGGGGACGAGGAGGGGTCTCTCCCCCAACGTTAGAGACAAAACCAAATAAATCACTGCTCAAAATTTGAGACCTTCCTTTGCCTGAATAAAACAGAATGTGCAGGCTCAGAGCCCTGATTTGGGGCCTCCCTTCATCACTGAGACCCCCAGATCTCAGAGGCTTTTTTCTTTTATAGTCTGTATACATATAATAAGATTTGCCATCTAACCATTTTAAAGGCTACAATTCAGTGGCATGAAGTCTCTTCACATTGTTGTGGAACCACCACTATCCACTTCCAGAACTTTCTCATTACCCCAAACAAAAACTCTGCACCCATTGAGCAGTATCTCCACACTCCCTCCCCTCCCCAGCCCCGGCAACCACGACCCCACTTCCTGTCTCTGTGGATGGGCCTGTTCTGGACGTTTCATGTAAGTGGAGTCACACACTGTGTGGCCTTGTGTGTCTGGCGTCTGTCACTGAGCGTGATGTATTCAAGGCCCATCCACGTGGCAGCGTGTCAGAGCCTCGCTCCTGTTCACGGCTCAGTGACGTTCCAGTGCACGGATGGACCGCGCTGTTTATTCATTTATCTATGGATGGGCCTTTGGGCTGTTGCCACTTTTGGCTGTTGTCACTGGTGCTGCCGTGGACACGGGTGTGCAGGTTTCTGTCTGAGTCCTTGTTTTCAGTTCTTTGGGAGTGGAATTCTCAGGAGCCGAGTTGCTGGGTCCTATGGTAATTTTACGTTTCACGTTTTGAGCAAGCACCCGACAGTTTTCCCTCAGAGTTGTTCCGATTTGCATTTGCTGCAGAGCTGACGGGCAGGCAGCTGTCCACGTGGCCTTTTGCGTGTCCATATGTCCTCACGGGTAGGTCTTCATTCACAACACTGAGCCTGGCCTGTCAATAGATATTCCTTGAATGGAAGGGCCTTTGGGGCCCATGCTTTCCAGGTGGAAGTTTGGGATTGGCCTTGGGGGGGACGTGTATCCGGTCTGGGTGTACTTGGGAGTGGAAGCAATCTGTCCTCACTTTCACAGCCATTTATTATATTAAATGTCCCAACAGTGGCCAACTCCTGGGGATCACGGTCCTCTCTGCCCTGGCACCCGCCCAGACCCTGCCTTGGCCTCTCTGTTCCTCCTGGACTGCACCTCAACTTCCCCCATTTCTGCCCCCCAAGGGCGCTTCCCAGAGTGGCCCTTCCGTGGCCCACGTGGAAGCCCCAGCCCCTCAGGATGGTGTTGGGGGCTCTGCACCTCCAGACACATGAAGCTGAGCAGATCCCAGTCCCCGCCCTGTCCTTTGCAGCCTCCGACCTTTGCTCCCAGGGTGCCTGCCCCCGGCATGTTCCTGTACCTCTGCGCAGGCCCCGTGCCCCTCACTCCAGGTCCTCGCCCTGCCGTCCCCTTCTCTCTGCCTGTCTCTCCGCTGTGCTTTTCTGTCCCCTGATGTTTTTTGAACAGCAACCTTGTGTTAGGCACGCTGTCCGTTTTTGATCATGTGAAACTTTTCATCTATTTTGAGCAACCTCTTGGGCTTTGTGAGGTTTCCGGCATCTTCCAGGAGGGAAGGTCACAGCTGGGCCGGAGAGAGGGACCCCGGCGGGGGGAGCCCGGGGGGCGGCGGGCTGTGTCTGGCGCTGGGGAAGGCGGCCTGGCAGGGCCCGGGGGTGAGGACGGCCCCTTCCTCGCTGCCAGGTTCTACTGGGACTTCACCATGCTGCTGTTCATGGTGGGGAACCTCATCGTCATCCCGGTGGGCATCACCTTCTTCAAGGACGAGACCACGGCCCCGTGGATCGTGTTCAACGTGGTCTCGGACACCTTCTTCCTCATGGACCTGGTGCTGAACTTCCGCACGGGCATCGTGATCGAGGACAACACGGAGATCATCCTGGACCCCGAGAAGATCAAGCGCAAGTACCTGCGCACGTGGTTCGTGGTGGACTTCGTGTCGTCCATCCCCGTGGACTACATCTTCCTCATCGTGGAGAAGGGCATCGACTCCGAGGTCTACAAGACGGCGCGGGCGCTGCGCATCGTGCGCTTCACCAAGATCCTCAGCCTCCTGCGGCTGCTGCGCCTGTCGCGCCTCATCC